TCTCTCTCTCTCTCTCTCTCTCTCTCTCTCAGAGTCAGCATGCATCTCTCTCTCTCTCTCCCGCATCACTCCGCGTGTGTGACTTGTGCTCGTGCGCTGTCCCGGGAATCACGGTACTGAAACCGCCGCATCAGCCACACGGAGCCACTCCGACACCGTTCAGCGGAACCCAAACTCACGGCGCGATCGGATTACACATCCCCGATGAATTGTCCTAAGGAATCGTGCGAACACGACGCGAAAAGCTGCTGCAGAATAACATTTCCCCTTGAAGCGACCGAAGACATGCGGCGTGCGCAAGAAGAAACATCACCTGCAGAAACTACCTAGGCTACCTGAATGATTTCACACCACTGAGGGATGCTTTAAGACATGTGGCATGCGCCTTTGAAGCTTTGCTTTGCAGGAGGACACATAGATCTCAAACCCAATGGAATGAATCGATCTTATGGCTTCTGACACCTGTTTACTGCCTTTTCATTATTATTTTTTATCTAATTCAGAATGCAATATAGATGTGCACTTAAATATTTCACAAAAGCGTCGTTGTTTCTCCGTTTAACTTGCAATCAATTTTAAGCAAAATTCCAAAAAGTGCAATGAACTTAATGCAGGTTGCGACTTTAATGCACCACTTAAGTTCTCAACTGTAGCGTGTTGCAATCGTTCCGGATTACCATGGCTTTCATGCATTCGCTTTTCACAGCCTAAATTTACAGGGAGTCCATAACCGTGCACTAATTGATCCCGGGCAGTCTCGATTCTCCCCGTTCTTGGATGCTGCGCGGTCAGGGCATGCTGAAGAGCCGCTGTTGCGTTCTCTTCAGTGACCTCAAGGTGTTTCTGCTCGGGCCACAGGCTCCTACAAACCCCATGAGCGGACAAACGGCCAGAATCAGCCCGTATGCCTCGGATAACAACAATACCTTACGAGCCCACCGGCTCCGGCACTGGAGTACCCCGTCCACAGAGGACCCTGTCGGGCCGGAGGAGGCTGTGGACGGATCCGGGTGGACGGGCCCCGCGGCGGAGGAGTTCCCCAAGGACCGGAGGGATGACAGATTCTCCTTCATCAGCTATGCAGAAGGAACCCCGGTGTGCAGGATATGCTTCCAGGGGCCGGAACAGGTAGAAACCGACCCTACAGTTCAATAAAGTAAACAAATGTACATGATAAATGAGATCATTTAACCATACTAAAAACCATTAAACTTGTTTATGCACTCTAAAAAATGCTGGGTTGTTTCAACCCAATTTTGGGTCAAATATGGACTAACCCAACCATTGGGTTAAAAAGTTAATTTAAAAATGTAACCAAAATTTAACCCAACAGTTGGGTTAGTCCATATTTGACCCAAAATTGGGTTGAAACAACCCAGCATTTTTAGAGTGTGTGTTATTAACTAAAGGAGCAACTATCTAATCGTGTTAATTTCATTACTAATTAAAATTTTACATTAGGACTGTCCAGTTTGTATTCCTATCCACCTTTTTAATGTAAGTCCATTATAGCCAATTGTTGTTTCTTATCATATTATTTTAATTTATTACGGTATTCATAAACACACGGGTACATTCTAAAAAATGCTGGGTTGTTTCAACCCAACGTTAGGTCAAATATGGACTAACCCAGCTGTTGGGTTAAATTTTTCAATTAAATTTTTAACCCAAATGTTGGGCTAGCCCATATTTGACCCAACGTTGGGTTGAAACAACCCAGCATTTTTTAGAGTGTAGTTTTACCATTTGCTGCGCTTTGTTATTCTTATAGCGATTAATGAATCGGACGTCTCGCACATTCACAGAAAAATAGCCTATTAGTTCTTCGTTGCTGGAAATAACAATCAATCAATCAATAAATTAATATGCAGCCATTTTCCTGTGGGTTTTTGGCATTGCAAGTTTCCATTTTTGCACAAACTTATAAAAGCTATACAATTTTTGCATTATTATTTGAGTTCATAATAGGCTACTATTTCAGCTTTTCTACTTCAAAATGTCACGTTTAATTTAATGTGATACTTGGCATTTCTTCGTAAATATTTTTGAAATTTAATAGCAATTTCTCAGTGAAAATTGTCAAATACTACACCATTTTTTTCAGTATCCAGTGTGTGGATCACAACACAACCTAAAGAGACTACAACTTAAATTACACAGTCAAACAAAAAGAAAAGAATGGTCTTACTGTCTTTAATTTATAACAGACCAAACTATGAACGTGACATTTTTTTTTTTTTGCATATGAACAAGGGTGAGCTCAGTTACAGCAGACACTCAGTAGTTAGAAAACAACACAAAACAGCATAACAGTTAACAGAACTGTAAACACACACAAAAATCTATAATAATTACCAACAACAATTATTTGAAGTCCATATACATATATACATATACACAGCCATTCCTTGCCTGGGCCTACTTCATTAAATATTCAGGAGCTAGAGCCACTGGCCACTCCCCCAATCACAATACACACTTATCATTTATCACATCACATCGCAGATGTGCAGACAGAACATCAGATGAAACTTATGTTTTTATGATGTACTTTAGTTACATAAGGTAATGTATATTAAAAGCATATATTATTATTTAGTAAAATGAAAAACATATTTAAAATTAATCAGTGCAATTTACATAAAAATTATTTTGAAGATTGAAAACATTCAAGGTAAGGATACTCTCAGTTGGCCGAATTATCAAACTTTAATGCCAGTGCAAGTTTTAAACAGGATTCTCATCATTTTGACCTACAAATTTCAATAACATGTTTTAATGATTTATTATTTTCAATTAAATAATTTCTCTTTTTTTTTCAATTTAATTTCTATGACTTGCCCGGTTGTAATTTCATAGAGACTGCATTTCTAAATAGATTTTTTAAATCAGATTTGAATCATTTCCACGAGTCCTGTTTAAATTAACCTCATGATTTTAAGGTCACGGCCCTGCAAATGGCAATGGAGTATTTACTTCTCTTAATGTGCCTTGTTTTAGTAGGAAAACTGTAGCTCAGAGCAGGCCTCATGAATTATTCATGATTATATGCAAATTGTTTCCACTTCAAAAGTAGCAGCGTCTTCCCCCAAAGGGAAGGTGATTCACCATAATTTACAACAGAACAACATTCATTTCACACTTGTTTCACTGATACATTTGAGCTCATGCCAAGTCAGAGTAAATGAAAAACTGGAGTGAGTTGAGTGTTAGGGCACATAAACTCCCATGTTACCTGAGCTGATCCTCTCCTGTACTGAAAGAAGGAAACCTGAGGCGAGTCGGCAGAGAGGGATCGACTTTCCTCCTCAGAGGGTTAGATGCAAAGAGCAAACACTTTTAAACACTAGTTTCAGAGGAGACCGGGGCTAGTTGTCACACAATTATAAGATACACCGTAAAAAAACAATTTCAGAGTTGCTTTTGATTCTTTGTGACTTTTTCGAAGTAGTTAATAAAACAAAGACTATTAGAAGACGTTTTACAAGAAAATACTATTTCAGACTTTTTACTTGCCATTTCTTTGTGCTTGTTTGTATTGTTTCAAAGTAAACACACCATTTTTTTTAGTGTAGAAGATGGCTTTTACATTTAATAAATAATCAGTTATTTAATTCAGTTTATTAATTTTAATATCTATTGGCCCAAACAATGATTTGATATTTTGTGTGTACACTGAAAAAAAGAATTGAGATCAGTTTTCACTCAGAAATTGATATTAAATTTCACAAATAATTACAAAGAAACAGCAAAACACAAAGCTTTTAAGTAGAAAGACTGAAATAGTACTTTATTGTTAAACATTCTCCAATTATTTTTTGTTTTATTTACAACTTCAAAAAATCATTTCACAGTGAACACAGAAAAAAATAGGTGCAGAAACAATTTTCACTCAGAAATTGCTAGCAAGTTTCACAAATAATTACAAAGAAAAGTAACACATTAAATAAAACGTGAAATTTTGAAGTATGAAGTATTTTCTTCTAAAACATACTCCAATAAACTTTTACAACTTTGAAAAAATTTTTTTTACAGTGTACCGCGTTTCTGCTTTGTGTTTTGTAATTGTTTAAAACTTACTTTCTAAAGCTTAAAATAAGCTTTCTAAAGTCACGTTTCCACCGCAGTGGGGCATGTTGTCACAACGGAAACATGCTGTTAGAAAGCTCATTTTAAGCTTTTCACAAAAGGTCAATGCGTGTTAAATGAACTGTATCTCTTTTTCCTTGACAATAACAGTAGAAATGCTCAGCATCTGTGTTTACTGCGTTTATGAATCAGAGAAAGTTCCTCTGAGGCGCTCAGTGTTTTTATTAACCGCTCCATAATGACACAATTTGAATTCAGATTTAAACAAACCCATTGTGCTTATGCAATTATAAGATTGCTGCCCCAAAGCGAGCAGTGTGATGTCTTTGAGAAGCTCTGCTGTAAGTGTAAAGAGCCGAAAAGGCGAACCCGAGGGACTGATTTCAGACGATTGTTCCAGTTAGACAATGATCAGATCTTCTCTCTTGTGCTTTTTGTGTGCAGAGACGAAGCAGAACTGATGTCTTACAGATACTACATGATGGAAAGACGTGTCTAGATGAAGGGCAGCGCTTTGATTTTCTGTCTTTTGTTGCTGTCTGACTGATTCATGCCTGTTTTCTGCTGATTCAGCAGGCTGTCGTTCAATGGCGCTATGAAAACATCCTGTCTAAACGTGTAACACTGAGTAATTGGTAATGTGCTGCTGCATCTTTCAGACGTCTTTGACTGGTGAATTGTTTCAAAATGTAATGATTGTTCATGAAGTATCAGGTCACATTGCATTAACCAGACATCTTTGTCTTTTCAAATGCATCTCGACTAGATCTGAAAAGCACAAGGAATGATTTCTGGGTTCAGTGCAAGTTCAGCTCTAAAGCATTTACAATTTCTCTCAAAAGACTTAAACATACACACTGCATACACACCTACACATTGTAGGTGTTCATATTGAACTAGTGTAGAATTAGTGACCTTGTCTGTGTAAACTTTTAACTCAAACCTCAATGTCACAATCACATTATGCCAGTACACTGCAAAAAAACCCGATTTTCTTACTTCGTTTTTGTCTTGTTTTCTAGTATAAATATCTAAACATTCTTAAATCAAGATACATTTACTGGAGACGCAAAATGGCTTCAGAAGTGTTTTTTCTTTTTGCAAAATATACCAAATTTAAAGGAATTGTTCACCCTAAAATGAACATTTGCTGAACATTTACTCACCATCAAGCCATCCAAGATGTAGATGAGTTTGTTTCTTCATCAGAAATAGACTAAGAAACAAAGCCGTCATTAATATGATTTTAACTTTCCATCTCCTAACTGATGGACTGGAGTGGTGTGGATTACTTGTGGATTATTGTGATGTTTTTATCAGCTGTTTGGACTCTCATTCTGACGGCACCCATTCACTGCAGAGCATCCATTGCTGAGAAAGTGATGGAATGCCTTTAAATGAGTGTATGCTTATAACAATAAAAAAAAAAGCTGCCAATGGGTGAGAAAAATACATTTAATTCAAATGGAAAACTAGTTTATTTTTCTTACCCCATTGGCAGATTTTTTTTAAGCAAAAACTTGTTTTCAGAAAACATAACTTACTATCTTAAATCATTTTGCTTTTAAGTAAAAGTATCTTGATTTAAGAATGTTAAGATATTTGTGCTCAAAAACAAGACACAAATACTGAAGAGGAAAATCATTTTTTGCAGTGTAAAGCCAGTAATGTTTACAATATGCATGAGGATAGAGACTGTTTACATTTAGCAAACCAGTGAGGTCTATAAAACCTGGAGAGAGCAATCTGTTAGCATTCCTTTTTTTTGTGGTTTGTTGGCCGGCGTATGATACCTCAGAAGTGTGCAACCTGCTGCTGCCATCTTAGCTTTGTTTTGATGTAGTTTTAGCATCTCACCAGAAATTCATGCATCTAGAAAAGTAACCCCACCTTAAAAAGAACAATGCACTTTATGTCAGAATAAATACAGGTTTTTACTTAATAATTAATGTAAAAAAAATAAAAAATAGAAGTTTTAGTTTTCTGCTTTTTTAAAACCCTCTGGAAAACTGTCTCTGTGCATTACTGTAACCATAATT